TTTTGGTTTAATTAACTCCGATATTTCCCGAGAAAATTGTGGTCATTTTGCGCTAAAATGAAAATCAATGGTTTACTATGAGAGTTTTCATTACTTTCCATTCTTGATATGGCCTGTACATACTGTATATGGGAAATGCTTTCGCAATATAACCGACGTATAAATCATTGAATTAAATTTTGTGGGAAAATTTTAGGGAAAATATAAATTACCTTAATTTAAAATATACAATAAAGACCTTCGTGCTGTTCATATATTTAAAAAATTTTAATTTTAAATGTATTATCACTTAAACTGATAGTTATATCATATTAAATAAAATATATTTTTAGCACAATCAATCGTGAGTAAATTTTTAATTACTTGTGCATAATCAATTAAATTTTGTCATAATAGTTATTAAACTCATTATAAATTAATTAGCATTATATAATTAACAGCCAATTAACACTTTTATTTTTATATATTATTTTAATAATTTAAATATTTTACCATCTTATGTCATATTAAAACTATAAATATTAATATAATTTAATAAAATAAGAATTCAAACATCAAATTAATTGATTATATATTATTTTAGTTTATAATAGCAAGATCAATAAAAAAAATTGCAATGAACAAGTTTAAGCAGTAACTTAGCATGTTTAGTTTATTATCTTAAATTATGGACCAATAAACTAGTGTCCGTATATTTTAAATAACATAATACTTGTTGAAGGCCAACCTCCCGGTGCCCTCGCATATAATGCACATGAAAAATAGTATAATGTACGTAATATTATTCAATTAGATAGTGTACAGTTTAGTGTACTTTTGAGCTGTATATAATTGATAAAGTGCAATTATCTGTATAGATTTGTTGATCGTGTGTAAACATGTATCGTATGTGTAAATAAAATTGATAAATTGTAATTTTTAATATATTTATTAATTTTATATAAATAACTAGATTTTTCTTATATAATACATTAAGCTAGATTTTTAAACATTTAATTTGGTTATTGTCTGTTTGTGCAAAATTAGTTATTTGTATATTTTTCGATATTTATTAATTAATTTACTGTTTATTATTTAAACTTTTATTTGTGAGTCTACTATAAAATTTTATATCTAATAAATAAGGAAAAGTTTCGCATCGAAAGAAATAAAAAGGTAAAAATTGTTTTAATGTGTTGTTCAAGTATTTAAAAATATAATACTATTATTCATAAAAATAATAATTTGTGAGAAAACTATTTTTATTTTCATTAATTACAAAAACTAATACCAAGAATTGTATGGAAAAACCTTAAAATGAATTAATTAATGCATATCTGGTGTGAATTTTTATTGTTACAAATTATTATTACTTTTTCTTACAATTGACTTATTTTTTCACAACATTTTGCTTTTCATTATAATAATTATTATTTTTTATTTATTTTATTGTTTGCATCAAAATTTTCTAACAGCAAAACCAATGGCCACGCGTTGGGGTATTATAAGTGCCGGCAAAATCAGCCACGACTTTGTCTCAGCCCTCCGGACACTGCCCGCCGATGAGCACCAGGTTTAGTATACTTTTGAAAAAATTATCCACGTCAATTTAATTAAAAATTTACAAAATTAAATTATATGTTGTTAAAAAATCTAAAATATAATTTTCAAAAACATAATAATTATACTCATAATTAATCATATAATTCAACACCAAAACAGTTGGTCGCTGTGGCGGCCCGTGACCTGAAATCGGCCCAAGAGTTTGCCCGCATTCACGGCATACCCAAAGCCTACGGATCCTATGAAGAGCTGGCCCGGGACCCAAACGTCGAGGTGGTATACGTGGGCACTATTCACCCGCACCACTTGTCCGCAGCCAAGCTGGTGCTATCGCACGGCAAACACGTGTTGGTCGAAAAACCCCTAACACTTAATCTAAAGGGCACTCAGGAGTTGATCGCGATCTCCCGGAGCCATAACCTGTTTCTCATGGAGGCCCTGTGGTCTCGATTTTTGCCCTCGTACGATTTTGTCATGAACGCCATTAAAACCGGCGTGATAGGTCAGGTGTATCATGTCGAGGTCAATTTCGGTATGCAAATAGGCGAGGTAGATCGCGTGGCCCGGAAAGAGCTAGGTGGTGGCACATTGGTGGATATAGGGATATATGCGCTGAATGTGGTGCTCATGGCGTTTGGCGGCGAACAGCCCCTGGATGTGAAAGCTGTGGGCCATTTGAACCAACACGGAGTGGACGAGAGCGTGTCGGCGGTGTTTAAGTATAGCGACGGCCGTACGGCCACCATAGCGACCAGCGCTCGGGTGAAATTGCCCTGTGAGGCACATATTGTCGGCACCAAAGGCACAATCAAGGTTAGTTTGTTTGTGAATTTCTACCAGTTAAAATACTATACTTTGGGATTAATAAACTTGGGTTTTTATGGCAATCTGTGTAAATTGTTATAAAAAAATGATAATTATTCACTAAGGTGCTCTACAAAAAACTAACATGTTACTAACATATCATTCTTACCGTAATAATTCATACAATTGATTGAGATAATGAAATTTAAATTAACTATGATAACTATTTTCTCTGCTTAACTATAGATACCGTTCCCGTTCTGGTGCGCCGACAAAGTCTACTTAAACGACGTTAAATACGAGTTTGATTTCCCGCCGGCGGCCGAAGTGTGTAACTTCTGGAACAGCTCTGGCCTGCGATACGAAGCCGTAGAGGTTCGCCGGTGTCTGACCTCAGGTCGCACTGAGAGTGAGGTTATGCCACACGAGGCGTCCCGAGGGTTGGCCCGACTTATGGATGAGATTAAACGGCAGGTGGGCGTCAAGTATGATGTGGACGAGTTTTCTCTTCATGATTATTAATTTTATCATAATCTCTCTCTCTCTCTCTCTCTCTCT